GCGCGATTCGCGCGCTTATGTTCTGGCAAGCTCTAGTTGCAGTCTGAAGTGTTCGGCACTGGAGGACACGTATTCTCATACGGATCGTGCCGCGCCCTTCAGGGAGCTCCACCGACGGTCCCAGAGACAGGTTTGGTTTAGCGTCACCCCGCCCATGCCAGCACGCCCCTACAGGGATCGCGCTCCGCAGCGAGCTAAACATACGTCCCAAGGAACAAAATTGGCATAGTGGCACGCCCCTTTCCCCGATCGTGCCCCGAAAGTAGTTGGATTTGCGACACGAAAGGGAAGGTTCATATCGTCGCCCCGCTCATTTCGGCGCACCTCTCACACGAATCGCCGCCCGCATGGAGTTCCACGGACGGCCCCAGAAGTAAGATTCGTATTCCGCCCCCCGTCTACTTTGTCAAACCTGTCAAACGGATCGTGGCCCACAGGGGCCTCCACCTACGGCCCCAGAGGCAGGGTTATCATTGCGCCCCCTCCTGGCCATTGCGGCACACCCTATCACTCGGATCGTGCCCACAAGGAGCACCAGCTACAGGCACAGAGACAAGGACCGCACAGCGCCCCCCCGCCCATGTCGGCTCACCCGTCATGCGAACCATGCCCCAAAAGGAGCAGCTATGGTACCAATGGGCAGCTTCGCACGGCGGCCACCCGCCCATTTCGGAGCATGCTTCGCACGGTTCGTGCCCGGAGGAGGTTCATTTGCGGCCTCAGTGGGCGTGTTCGCGCGGGGGCAGCCGAAGTAGTCTGCCCACCCTTCACGCGGACCGTTCCCCACAGAGAGCTCAGTGTACCCGCGGACGCGTGCTCCTCAACAGCCCGCTTTCCGCATTCCCCGCGGCGCGCAGTGTTTGAACAGAGATCCGCGTCCTGCGCTACACATGACTGCACAGGGATGGGTCCGTCAATGGTTTTCGTCTCATACCGCTAATGTGCCTGAGTTGTGGGCCAGAGGATCCTTGGATACCTGTAATTCGGGGTCTGGTGGCGTGCTTCTCGGGCACCTCATGGAACGACTTTTGAAGTTCCTTGGGGCGTCTTGGCGGCCATTAGGGGGCCTCTTGGGGCCTCTTTTGGGGCCCCGAGGGCCTCCTGGGGGCCCGCCGGCGGCCCCAGGGACCCACTGGCAGCGGAGGGCTCGAAGTGTCAGTTGGAGTTTTCCTTTTGGGATCCATCTTGTGGCCCTCTTACGGTAGGTTTGCGTCGTGCCGACCAGCGGCGACCCCAGCGCGGGCGTTCAAGGTTGAACGCCGCCGGCGACCCAGAATCGATCGATGTTGAACGATCGGACGTTGCGGCAGCGGCCGATCGTTCAAGGTTGAACGATCCCTGCGGTGTCAAAAACCAACGCTGGGGTCGGCACGACACGAACCTGCCGTAGGCCATTTTGGGCGCCTCTTGGACCCTTTCGGGCCTCTCTTGGGCCGCCCTGGGGCCCTCCTTGGGGCCTCTTGTGCCATCGTGATGCGATCTTTGGGGCCCCTTGGCCCGTTTGGACGCTGTAAAAAAACCAAAGTGCGAATCTTCCAGAAAATTATAGACAGCGCGACGGGATCGAACATGCCGTGGGTAAAAGGAAGGGAACTCTGGGAGGGTATCCTGGCCTGGGCTCCGGGCACCCGATACCCCCCGCATTGTCATGTGTACATATACATAAATACATACACAGTTGTGCATGTTAGCCAGCGTGAGCCTCACACAGTGTGTTTCTGGTAATATATGTGTTGTGCAACCGATGTCGTGCAAACTATGTGGTGCAATATGTGGTATGCAATCTACGTTGTGCAATGTATGTTGTGCCATTTTAATGGTATGAACTAGTAGGTACTATACATGTTGAGAACCCTTTTGTTGCAGTAACCCATCTGCTGTAATGTATGTAGTGCAATCAGCGTTGTGCAATACAAGGTCTACGTTGCGCTCTTCATAGGGCGAGGTCTATTTGGTGCAGTCGACGTTCAGCAACCAGTGTGGTGCAAAACATGTTGTGCTGTACATGGCCACCTCTTTGGTGCAACATCTATATATTGAAATAGTTGTTGTGCACCCCTTCGCGTTTAATAGTTGTGGAGCAACATATGTGGTGCAATCTAGGTCGTGCAAACACAAGATGCATGGTGCGATAGATAACTGACAATGTATACATCTATGTGTGTGTGTCATATGTGGATCAATGCATGTGGTGCTGCCTCTGTGGTGCAACTATTGATTGAAAACGCGGGTATGTCGTCCCCACTGTTCGCGCAATCATCCCATCCACCCGTCCGCAATATGTTTTGCAAAGCCCATGTGGCGGCGGTTGCGATGGTTGCTTGGCGCTGGCTGGTGCATCGCTGCGGCCTCGCAAGCCCGCGAATGCTTGCGCGCACAGCGGCCAGCTCCTCTTGCACGAGCAGTTCTTTGCGAGTCGGTGACTTGGGCAGGCGCGGTACCATGGCGATGTCGAGAATGGTAGACACGATGCTGATCGTAGCGGTGATGGTGACGATAACGACGAGCGACGACGGCAAGGCCAATGACGGCGTTGATGCTGATCATGCCGATGACGATGATAATTAGTGTTCTCGCGTCTGTGATGAATGGGAAACATTTCGACATGAACGCACGGCCGACGCGCGCGAATGGCCGGGGTGGTGCTGTTGGACACGCGTGCGCGAAAGGCCGCTTGGCCGAATTCGATGAACATGTTGGCACATTTTTTTCCTAAATTCGCAGGAACGCGGGCGCACAATTTTTCGAAACCTGATGTTGCCAGACCATGTGTTGTTGTTCCCATTCGTTTTCGGGACACTCGATCTTGACATCTCCACTGGACCGGAGGTGATTGGACGATTGCGGGGTGCGCGCGCGACGGCGCGTGCATGTGCACTCTGGCCCATTTGTTGCAAGGAGTTTTTGAATATTGATTATTTGCGATAAACGAGTGCGCGCGTTTGTATTTTTTGGCAGAGGATGGCGCGGGGGTCGGTACCGGCCTGGCTGGGATTGTACGGTTTCATATGTTTGATGGACAATGGGGCATAACCACATGTACATTGCAATACGAAAAGGCGGGCGGTGAATGCCGCCTTCGCAGGGGTGGTAGATCCGAATCTTTTTTTGGAAAGGAGGGTCCACGGAATGCAATACATGGCGTGCAATCTTTGTTGCGCAGTCTTTGTGGGAGGTTTTGTGGTGCAACCTGCGCTGTGCAATATATGATATGCAATTCATGTTGCGCAGTTTATGTGGTTCGCAATCTACGTGGTGCAATCCATCAACGTGGTGTAGCATAGGTTGTGTAATCTATGTGGGGCGGCAGCGGGGCGGCGACGGCGGCAACAAACGCGGTGACCGACAGACAGGCCCAGACGATGGGCGACGACGAGGCGGGGACGGGGTGGCGACGGCGACTACATAGCCGCCACGGGGGCACACAGGCCCAGACGACGAGCGGCGACGAGGCGGCGACGGGGCGGCGACGGCTGCTACATAGCCGCCAGACCGGCACACCAGCTCAGATCCTGAGAAAAAGGCAAGAACCCCAAGTGCAAGCATTGTCTGGGGGAAATGTATGTCGGGCTGGCCATTCGAGGTTTGAAATCCGCATCCTGCTGGCGTCTCGGGCGGCCTGGCCGACCCGTGAAAGCCGCCGGGCCTCCAACATGGGGGCCAGTTCAGAGGATGAAAAGGTCCTTTCCCTCGTTATCGTACTTCTGGGCCTCCTGACTGGGTCAGACTGCACCCTGGGAGAGGTCCGAGGAGTCGCGGTATCGGCACCATTTGTATTCCCCAGAGCCAAGACTCCCAGATGGGGTTCGAGCCTATGAGGTCGGAGGACCGTGCCGTATCGCCGATGTATCGGCGATGCGGTTGGATGTGGGGCCCGATCTTCTCCACGCCGACGTCGCCGATGCGCCGCCGACGTCGCCGATGCATCGCCGGTGCATCGGTGCAACGGCGATGCACCAGCGATGCGGCGCGATCTTCTGATTCCATCCACTTGGAACCCAGTTGGGAGGTCTATAAACGTAACGACCCTATCGCCCTTTTTCCAAGGTGTGGGCAGTGAGACCACCTTGGCCAGATTTGGGGCGCCATCTGCTGTTTGGTCTGGTCGTTTGGCTTCCAGGCTCCGCCTGGTTTATTTACCTCCTCCGTGCCTCGAACAGCGATCACGGGTAGCCCGCGAATTGAAAAGATCAGGACGTTCGAGGTTTTTGGGGGAGGGGGATCTATGTTCAAGGCTCGATGATGTGGGCCATCAGACAGGGGCCTGCGGAAACCTCTGCAGGCTTCCTGGGATTTCCGAAGACGGTCCAAGCTACTCGATACGAGGGCGCACGATTTTGGGCCTCGCCAGCTTCGCATCAGCTCGGAACATGGCCGATTATGCGGTGGCCTAGATATGTGCCCCCCAGAGTGATTGCTTGCATCGAGCAGTTTGTTGCTCCTTCCTCGGCTCGACAATGAATTCGCCGATCTAGTTCCAACGTTGTGGGGCGATTGGTCTTCTTCCGACAGCGTAGACCGCGATGTTTCGTGTAAGCATTGAGTTTCGTCTTGAAGTTGATGCGCGCATCGCAGGTCGAATGTTCACCATGCAGTTGTTTCATGGGCGGGCAGCGTGGAGCTCCGGCGAGGTGTGGGCAAGCATGCGGTCGAACTCAATCGTCGGACACGTTGACTGAGGGATGTGTCCCCATCGATAGCAGGATCGTCGACTTCGACGGGGCGACTCCACGGTGTCTTCAGGGGGTGCTTGACAGAGAAGCATATCAAACATGATCCAACCGCGGAGGGGCAAACCCCATATGATCGGTGATTGCGGCGAGGGGTCAAAGCCCAACGTCAGTATCAACCGCCAGTATCACCCCTGGGTTCTAACCTCTCTTCTCACTCAGTTTTGTTATTCCTTCTTGTTACTCCTCCGTGACCACTGCGGCTCGAGTGATCACATGGGAGATCGTGCCACCACCACCAGCCCCCCGACGCCGCGTACGTGAGTGGCGATGACGATGGCACTGGTGCCTGGGGAGGAGGAGTCCGCGACAATCCCGATCAGCTCGCGGCCTGAGTTCTCCAAACCCTGCCAGCCTCGGTTCCAGCCGCAGCCTCGAGCACCGCACGAGCTCCACACAGAGCTTCTGGGCTTGTGCAGCAACCATTTGGAACTGTTGGGGCAATTGCTGGCAGCAAGCACCGCCATGTCGCCAGAAGCGGCCATCACAGCTTGGGCAAAGAGCGTCGAACCACTGAAGGAGGCTCTGAGGGATGGCAGGTTGTCCAAGGCGCCCACAGAGCCGCCTGCGTCGAACGAGCCCGAGTCGCCGTTATCGTCGAGTCCCTCTGCGATTGGTCGCACACGTTTGGCACAAGTAGAGGGTGCAACAGATAGTGTTACTCCAAACATTCGGATGTCAACAGGAAGCATGGAGAGAGGAGCCAACCCGGAGATGTTGTTTAAAGGTGCGACCATCTCCGATATGTTGGGGGTTGATGCGACGGACTGGGGCTCTCAGAGCTCCAACAGGCACATCGAGAAGCTGAGGGTCTATCTGCACACGAAGCAGGTGGAGGTGTTTTGGTTAGTGTGTATAGTGTGGCCTCCGGCCTTTCCCGTCGCCGTGCTTCCCGGTGCCTCGAGAGGTCTCTCCGGGGCCGCCTGGGTGCGACTTGGGTCTTTTGGGGGCCGTCTTGGGTCGGACAGGCCCTGGACACTCGGCGAGTCAGAACCTGAGATTATTCGTGTGAGCCTTTGATGCGCTCCAATGCGTGTCCAGAGCACGGTGGCGGCTCTTCCTGAACACCGTCAACATGATCGTCGAGGAGCAATACGAAGGCGGGCGTGTTGGCCACAGCCTGGGCGTCTACAGCGAGATGGGCTCCGACAGAAACCTATCCTTGGAGGGCACCCTGAAGGCGATGGAGGCAATGTTCGCCCTTATGTTCACCATTGAGCCTGGACATCCGACCTTCGTGCTCTTCTCAAACGGGCGTTTCGGTGTCAGTTGAGTTTCGGGTTCAAGGTGGCGTTTTCTTATCAGTTTCAAAGCGGGTGTTTTTTGTCTTCAGTTGTAGTGTTTGATGAAGTTTCACAACCCAGCCCCATCAAAATACGATGCGGGATGAAAAGTTGGCCCCAGGCAAGTGGTAAATATAGAGTTCGGGGGACCCCGTATCGACAAAAGTTCGACGTCGGAGGTCTGTCAGACAGCCTTATGGCTGATCGTTCTGAAATGGCACTTCTTTTACGTCCGGATGCGCGTGTTGGACTTGTTTGTCGTGGCGTTCACCGATGTGGGCATCATTTTGGAAGAGTTCGTCCCCGTGCCCGTCAATGTCCAGGTTCTGCGGCTCCTGCGGTTGACCAAGGTGTTTCGTTTACTCAGGCTTCTGAAACGCGCAGAACAAATGGAGGCCATCATGATTATGGCTGCGGCCCTTCGGAGGTGTGTGGACAGCGCTTCTTGGGCGATCATCATACTTTTTGGATGCCTGAGTGTCTTCGCGCTGCTCATTACAAGCATCGTCCGCGACAGATACTTAAGTGAAGACTCTTCTTTGAATCATGACCAACAGGTTCAAGCATTCAAATATTTTGGTTCCTATGCTCGAAGCATGCTGTCAATGTTCGAACTCGCGCTTGCAAACTGGACGCCAATAAGTCGCTTTCTGACGGAGAACGTCCACGAGTGGTGGATGATTTTCCTGGTTCTTTACAAGTTGACAATCGGTTTCGCCATGATTGGCATTTTGAACTCCGTGTTCATGCAAGAAACGTTTCAGGCCACCGAGCTGGACAACGACATCATGGTGGCAAAGAAGAGGCGGGCAGACGCTGCCCACCGCAAGAAGATGATGGACCTGTTCGATCTCGCGGACCGCGATCACGACGGGACCATCGGCCGCCAGGAGTTCGCCAAGATGCTCCTCGAGCCAGCGATCCGGACGTGGCTCATGTCGATGAATTTGGACATCAGCGACGCCAACCTACTCTTCGATCTGATCGACGACGGCTCGGATCCCAACGGGATGATCGACAAGGAAGAGCTCATCGCTGGCATCGCGCGCTTGCGCGGCCCTGCGCGCTCCATCGACGTGAAGGCGCTGCGGAAGCAGCTGGAGGCCGCGTGACTCGTTGTCGCAGAAGTGGTGACCTGGCTGCCTCGCCTTCGGCACTGCGACCGCACACCGCGACGAGAGTGGCCATGGTTCGGCAGCGTTCAACTTAGCCACCTAGCCCCATTTCCATGTGGCCATGGTATCTCAGCCCCGCCAGCCCACCTGGATGGGGATGTGGGTCATCTGTAGACATATACATATATACACATCTATAAACACATATTTTATGTAAGCGTATACACATTCACACGCATATGTATATATATATATATATACACACAGGTACGGTGGTACAGGGTCGGGGGTTCACTGCCAGGTGCCTCGAGTCGCCATGAGCGCGCCAGACCCCCCAGTAGCTCTGCCTCCGAGGCTCCTTGCCCCCGAGAGAGGCCTAAGACAGCTCCGAGACGGCCCGAGAGCCTTCCAAGAGAGCCTGTAGACCGCCCGAGAGCGACCCAAGATGACTTCAGAAGGCTTCGAGACGGTCCAGCAGGGTCCTAAGTCGGCACAACAGGCCAAGAAGGGGACCCCCGAGAATGCCATTGGGAGCCACAAACAATTATTATCATACCTACCCGTCTGATCTCGCACTGCATTATTTCGTCCGACCGGCTGTGCTTGAGATATGTGTTGGGCTTTGTGTGCTGGGATTGCTGGGATGCGGGACTCCCTCGGTGTGCTGGGCCAGGCTGCGTGCTTGGATGTGTCGGTGTATTGCCTCGGCGTGTTCGGTACTGGGGTATTGCCTCGGTGTTCTCGGTGCTGGGATGTGTCCGTGTACTGCCTCGGTGTGCTGGAAACGGTGTGCTGAGATGTCTGGACGTACTCGGGTGTGCGTTGGGGGTGTTTCGATGGTGTGTGTGTGCCAAGATGTGTGCTGGGCTCCCCCCTGAAGAACCTTCCTAGAACAAACAAAATGTTAAAACCTTCCTCAGGGAGGTTTGTTTGGAAGAACCTTCCTACAGACCTTCCTAAAACCTTCTTCAGTAGCGCGTTCTGGAAGAACCTAAAACCTTCCTCGGGCTTGTTGTTTGGAAGCACCATCCTAGAAACCGCCCTGAAGCCTTCAGAGGACGATTGTGTGGGAAGGTTATTTGAAAGGTGTTCGAAATATTGTTGGAAGTTGCTTCTCAGGTTGTTGCATGGTTTCTGGAAGGTTCTTGGAAGGTGTTTGCCATGTGTTTGGAAGGTTTTTGGAAGGTGCTTGGAAGTTGTTTGGGAATGTGTTTTGAAGGTGTTTGGAATGTATTGGGCGATATTGCTATTGTGTCGGAGCTTTTTTGGGGAAGGATTTCGGAAGGTTTTGTTTTAGAAGGTTTTTGGGCTGTTTTGGGGAGGTTTTTTGGAGGTTGTTGGGAAGGTTTCCGGAGGAAGAACCCAGGAGGGGTTCTGCGAACTGCCGCACTGGTCTCATCTCGTCCCGCGTGCAGCTCACTGGCAATCGGGAAACACTATCTGGTTATGATTGCGCACCACATGGGGACCGGCGGATGGGTGTTACTGAGTGTCGTTGAGCGGGAGCGCAAAACCGATGGCCGCAAAACGTGGAACAAGTGTGCGTAGAACCGAATCGCGCACGCGAAGCGCGCGTGCGTGGTTCTGGCATCTATTCATAGCTGCGCGGGTCCGAAACCTCGAAGGGGCGTTCCCCAACATCTGTCGTGCCCATCGCCTCCCTGGTCACACGACTGACGCCGAGAGTGTGCGCGACAAGATGGCCCGGCGTGCGGCGCGCATTCTCGTGTCTCGGACACCACGCTCATCAGCGATATTGGAACACAGCAGCGCTGAATCGTACGGTTGTCTCCAGGGCCTCCTCCTCCTCCTCCTCCTCTTCCTCCTCCTCCGCCTCCTCCTCCTGCTCCTCCTAGTCGACCCCCGACTCCAAGGGGAGGCGCCGAGAGGCCCCCCCCCTACCCTTGTGTTGTGTTTTTAGCCCGAGGGGCTTGCGTCGTGGGTTCGAGGACACATGACATGTCGTTGGGCTCGGGGCTTTTCTGCCCCTGCCCGATCGGGTTCACGGGCGCCGTTCCCGACGTGGTCGCCGTCGGTCCATCTCACGAGGTCCTGTGTCCAAAACGCGGGTCCCAGTGTACCCCAAAAATGTGGCGCCGTGCCATCCGTGGTGCCCCAAATTTGTTGTTGGAGTTGTGTTGTGCCTGAAGCTGGCTCGGATGCGAGGATGATCTGCACCAGTTGCCCGTGTCCATCTTGGGCACAAGTTTGGGCACTTAACTGGCGTTTGGGGCACAGCCGGGTTTTTCTGGGGGCACATTTTTGGGCACGTGGTCGGCCAATTCAGGAATCCATTCCAGGCACCGTGGGCACTGTATGTGCTCCGTTTTGGGCATGTACGGGATCCGTTCTTGGCACTTGTCCAGGCATCCGAACGTTGGATTGCCAGGGTCCCGTGTCGGTGCAGCGCTGTGGCGTGTCGTGACGGCGCCGTGTCGCAACGGTGTCGCGTCGCAAGATGCAGCCCAAGGGACTTGTAGAGGGCCCTTTTTGAGGGTTTGGGGCAAACAAAGGTCGGAACCAGGACGGCACCGGGCAAACAAGAGAAGGCGCCACGAGTGTATCGGGGAACACCAGGAAGGCAATCGCGAACACACGTCTCGCATGAACAACAACGATTCATTTTGAGTCACCGCTTGGGGCTCAAATTGTGCACCGTTCGGGGCACAGTAGCTGTCTTGGACCAAGCCAATGGGTGAACATATTGTTGTATGTATGTGGGTGATCATGAGTAGGTATATTGTATTGTTTGTGCTTAGATATGTTTTTCTCTCTCTCTCTCTCTCTATATATATGTATATATATATATATATATACATATAGATCGGAGTAGGCCGGGGGGGGGGGAAACCGGTGCCATTATCCCCCATGGGCGCCCCCCCAAACCTTTGGGGGGTCACAGACCCCCCGGGAATTCTCCGTGCCGCTTCCAGATTGCCCACGACAGGCCACGCGGGCCGTACAGATGGTCAAGAAAGCCTCAAGAGGCCGCGAAGACGCCCAAGAGCGCCCCAAGAGGGCCTGAGATGGCTTGAAGATGGCCGACCAGGGCCCCAAGAGGGCCTTCAAGAGGCAAACATCGGCCCATTCCCCACGTAAAGCGTACATGTTCAGCATGCTCCCTTACTTCGTCTTCGCAGTGCCCCAGACGCCCCCGAGGAGCCCCAAGACAGCCCAAGAGAGACCCAAGAGGGTCGTCCTGTGGGGCTGACGGAACCCCCCAAGACGGCCCAAGAGGCCCCAAAGCCAGCCCAGGAGGCCCCCAAGACGGCCTCAGGGAGGCTCTTGAGAGCCTCGTCCGAAATCATGTTCTCGGAAGCCTCTCCAGGAACATGATTTCCGGGTTCCCAGGGCGCCCAAAGACAGCCCCCAGAGGCCCCGGACACGCCGAAGATGGCCTAAAACGCCACAAGAGGGCCTCCAGCCCTTCAGATCGCTCCAAGACGGCCGAGGAGGCTCCCGAGAAAGCCCAGAGACGGCCCAGGAGGCTCCCCAGATAAGTCAAGGACGCCCCCAGAGGCCATCAAGAGGCTTCCAAGAAGCCCCGTGAGGTTCCCAACAGGCCCCCCGGAAGCCCCAAGAGGCCCCCCAGGTTGCGGGGGGGGTCCAGAGCTCCCGAGGCGGCCCGAGCCCGCCCCGAAGCAGGTCACGACAGGCTAATCTAATGGAGGTCCCGAGAGGACCCAAGACGGTCCCGCTAGGCCCCGAAGACGCCCAAGATGCCCTCAAGGCAGCCGACGAGGACTCCAAAACGCCCCAGGACGGACTCAAGAGGCTCCCCAAGAGGGCCCTCGGAGGCAAGATTCACTCATTTTCCGATGGTTTTTGAAGGATTTAGGCGTTCTCGCCTTTCCCGCTTTCCAGCGCTCCCTCACGGCCTCGGAGGCCTTTCAGATCGCTCCAAGAAGGCCCACGAGGCCCCGACGAGGGCCCCAAGACGGCCCAGGAGGCTCCCCAGACAACCCAATTGTGCCCCGAGAGCGCGCCAAGAGAAGGCCCTGAGGGGCCCCGAGGCGGCCCGAGCCCGCCCCGAAGCAGGCCACGACAGGCTAATGGAGGTCCCGAGATAGGGCCCTAGACGGTCCCGCTATGCCCCGAAGACGCCCAAGCTGCCCTACAGACGGCCGACGAGGACTCCAAAACGCTCCAGGACGGACTCAAGAGGCTCCCCAAGAGGGCCCTGGGAGGCAAGATGCACTCATTTCCCGATGGTTCTTAGAAGGATGTAGGCGTTCTCGCTTTCCCCGCCTCCCAGCGCTCCCTCACGGCCTCGCTCGGAGGCCCTTCAGATCGCTCCAACACGGGCCAGGAGGCCCCGACGAGGGCCCCAAGACGGCCCCGGAGGCTCCCCAGACAGCCCAACTGTGCCCCAAGAGCTCCCCGAGAGAGGGCCCAGAGGGGGACCGCCAACCGATATTTCGAGGTCTCTGGCCCTAGAGGCCGCCTGTAGGCCCCCGGAGGCCACCAAGAGGCTCCCACGAAGCCCCGTGAGGCGCCCAAGAGGCCCCCAGGAAGCCCCAAGGGACCCCCAAGGGGCTCCCAGGGAACGCCCAAGAGGCCCCCCAACACACCCCAGAGAGTCATGTCCCCAGAAAACCGTCCAGGGACATGGTTCATCATGGGCCCGAGAGTTCCCGGAGGCCCCCAAGGGGCCCCCAGGGAACGCCCGAGAGACCCCCCACCACACCCCAACAAACCATGTCCCCAGAAAGCCTTCTGGGGACATGGTTCCTCATGGGCCCGCAAGTTTCCGGAGGCTTCGAAGTACCGTCATGCTACAGGAGAGCTGTCTGGGAAGTCGATTGGGAACATGACCGATCGCCTTCGCGCGGCCCTCCGCAGATCGCGTCGCACAAAGTTGCCCCAAGTGCCCTCTTGAATAGACGGCGACGACGACGAAACGACGACGACGACGACGACGACGACGACGACGACGACGACGACGACGACGACGACGACGACGACGACGACGACGACGACGGCGACGGCGACGGCGACGGCGACGGCGACGGCGACGGCGACGGCGGCGCGCCCCAATAGGCGACGACGACATTACGACGACGGCGACGGCGACGACGACGGCACGCCCCAACATTCTCCCCAAGACGCCCCAAACCCATGCTCCCGGAAGTCTTTCTGGGAACCCGATTCATACGGCCTCCGCCCCCCTACACGACCATTTTCCTCGAAGGCCTTTCGGAATGCAGATTGGCATGCGTGGACTGTGGTCCACTACTTCAGTGGAGCAGTGAATTCGTCAATGCCTGGGGCCTGCTAGAACCTGAGCGCGCGCGAAGCGCGCGCGATGGTTCTAGTATACATATATGCGTGGTTTTAACAACAGTTTGCGTAGGCGAAACGCGAGGGGGGCCGCACTGACTCGTCAGCTCCTGCCGATGCTACGCTGTCGGCATTGGGGCTCAAAGTGCAAGCGATCGATGCAGGCGATCAGCTCTTTCTTCAGCGAGTTTCTCCAGCCCGGCTGCCATAGTCAGGGCTGCTCGGCAGGACTGCCCGGCCTGCGTCTGCAAGTCGACCGTGACTTGCGGCGGTGGCGGGGCGCCCGTCGTCACGCAGGAGGCGATTTGGGCCGAGGCTTCGCTCCGTGTCTTCGTGCTCGGGGCGGTCTTCGTCGCGGGCCTGTTGCTGGGAGCGGCGGGTCAGCTGCTCTTCGGGCCTCGCGTGGCCGGGCTCTCGGCGACAGCAGCGCCAGCACCGGCGGCGATCCTTTCGATTGACGACGAGGCTCGGGTACAGGCCGCCGCGGCGCGGGCTCGGACGCTTGGCGCCAGCTCCCGGTGATGGCGGCGGCGCATCCGCTGCAGTAGCTGGGCGTGCAGCCTGGCGACTTCATCCTCATCCGCTACAACGTCGGCGGCCGGCGACTGTGGCACGAGAGGCTCGTGCTGTGCCTCGCGGTGGCCCCCCCTTGGGGGGTGGGCATCCTCACCCCAGATGGGGGCGCCTACGTGGAGATCGTCATCGGGGGCGCCGACATCGCGGCATGTGCGGTGTGCGACCTCGGCGCGGCGGGCGGCGCGGCGGCGGCGGTCGGCGCTGACGCGACCTACCGCTTTCGAGCGATCCCGCTCGCGGCCGAGGTCGCGCAGGGGCTGCAGGACGTGGTGACGACGCTGGGGCTGCCGGCTCAGCCCGCCGTCGTGCCGAACATCGGCGGGAGGGCCGTCGCGCCGGCGGCAGCCGCCGTGGCCCCGGCGGGCGCCGCGGGCGCCGGCGGCGCGGGCGCCGCCGCAGGCGTCGACGGGCCGGCGGCCGCCCTTGCAGGCGCTGGAGTCGGCGGAGCGCCGGCGGGCGGGGCCCTGCTGGCCGCGGCGCCGGCGCCGGCGGCCGCGCCCTGCGCTGGGGCGCTGGTGCCAGCAGCAGCGGCGCCCGCGGCACCCAAGGCGGCCCTCGCCGCCGCACCGCCCGCGGCGGCGCCGGCGCCGCCCGTGGCCATCGCGCTGGCTGGGGCGCCGCCGATGGCCGCGGCGGCCAGCGCTCCTGGGGGCGACCTGAGGATCATGCCCGTGCAGCTCGACGTTCGCGGAGTGCGGCACCGGCCATTCTCGGAGGCGGTGAGGCTGCTCTGGGAGGTGCCGTTCGCCGACTGGCCGATCGACGGACCGCGGACCTTGGCGTGGGTGGTGGACTTCATCGAGAGGGTTGCTGGCACGCCGCTGGCCTGGCACCAGAAGTTTCGGACGGACGGCCAGCTCGATGACGACGAGCCTGGTGTGGCCAATCACGAGATGATGTGCCGCCTGCTTGAGGTGGCGTTCTGCTACGACCAGCTCCACGGCTCGAACCTCGCGTCGCTGGAGCTGGTCGCGAGGTCGATCCAGACTGAGAATGAGCGGTACCGCCACAGGTTCGAGAGTGCGGAGGACCTCGCCGTGAATCGCAACCTGATGATCGGGATGGCGCACGGGCACGGGCACATCTGCGTCTGTCCTGCCCTCCGCGACTACGTCGCCGCGCAGCTCCAGGAGGAGGCCGCCATCAGCAAGGAGCGGCGGAAGGCCCGCGAGGAGCGGGCGCTCGCAGCTGGATCCGAAGGCGACCACGGCGGCGGCGCAGGATGTGGGCGTGGCAAGAAGCAGAAGAAGAAGGAGAAGGGGGGCGGCGGTCGTGGGGACGCGGCCGCCGCTGACAAATGAACAACAAGGCCCACGGCAGCCTGGGGGACCGGCAGGCTGGCCGTCGAGACGACACCACCAGCCAGGCAGCTTGCAGCGGGCTGCCCGAGGCAGGGCGACAGCGAGATCTGTTTCTTATGCCTCTCGTGGGCGGCGTCGGGAAGGGCGCCCAGCCTGACCTGGGCCGCCGCTCACAACGACGACAAGCCGTTCACGCTCATCACCTGCGCCGGCTGAACGCTGCAATCTCATTTTTGAATTCGCTCTACGGTTGCCCAAGTGTTGTCGGGGGCCCAGTCAACGAGAGCCAGCGGGTGGCCATGCAGAATCTGAACACCGCTTATCATCGGCTCGGGCGTCAACCTGAGCAGTATGCCGAGACGCGTGAGTGCGAGGACGGAGCCCTCGGCGAGCTCCTCCATGGCGCTGCCATTGATGGAGATGGCGCCTGCAGCCCGTCAGTCCCGTATATCCGAGAGCATATCTCATGGCCGTCGTCGAGCTCGGCACCAGTGGAGTTGACCGCCCTCGCGGGCATCTCGGAGGCGGCGCGCCTGCGGGACTGGCGGAGCCAAATGCTAAGACCAACGAGGGAGGCGGAAGAGCTCCGGGCTGCAGCGTGCCCAAGGGGGGGGGTACTGTGACCAGGGGCTTGTCGGCGATCCTCGGACCTATGCAGAATTCCTGGGCAAGCTCCACGGCAAGGGGGTGGTTGACTACTCTGTCGCTGCGGACGCCAAGGGCACGGTGGGCGTGTTTTTCGCCCCGGAGGAGAACGGGACGCAGCGCAACATCTTTGATACTCGCATCGTAAATTGTTTCTTCAGAGCGCCTCCGAAGACCAGGCTACCCACCGCGGCGGCCCGGGGTTCAGTGGAGGTGCCCTCCTCTGGGGCCTTCGTGGCCACAGCGGACCTGGAGTGCGCTTTTTACCGCGCGAAGCTGCCGGACGGGATGCAAGAGTACTTCTCGCCCCCGGCGATCGACTCAACTTTCTTGATGGAGGCCAGGCTCGGCGACTTGCCCTTCGGGCCGGGCGCGATGCTCTCGGCCCGCGCGCCGGCGCTGCCCATGGGCTTCACGCGGGCGCTGCGCCTGTGCAAGGACGTCGCCGCCAACTGCCTGCTGAGGAGCGGCGTGGGCCCGTCGTGCGTGATCGTCGACGGGCAGGTCGGGATCGAGCTTGGGCCCTCGCGGCCCGTCGCCGCCGGCGCCTACGTGGACAACGCGGCGACCGTCGGCGCGACGGCAGCGGCGGCGAACCAGCTGTTGCACACCCTGGTGAAGCGCTTCAAGGAGGACGGCCTCGTCGTCCACGAGATCGTCGAGGCCTCGCCCGACGCGGAGTTCTTGGGCCTGCAACTGCACGCCGGCAGGGCCCTAACCGCCAAGGCGAAGAACGTGTGGAGGCTGCGCGCCGCGCTGGGCGGCCCACTGCGGAGGCGGCGGGTCGCCGGCTACGCGCTGCGCGCCGTGCTGGGGCACATCGCGTGGATGAGCGTGCTTAGGCGCGAGGCCCTCGCGACCGTGCGCGCCTGCTGCACCTTCGTCGAGGTGTTCGAGGGCCGCCCGGGCCGCCTGTGGGCTGCCGTTCGGGAGCTGACGGTCGTCCGCAACCTGCCCCCGGTGACGCAGGCGGACCTCGCCGCCGGCTGGCGCAGCGCGATCGCGTGCAGCGACGCCGCGCCTGGAGGGCTCGGCGTCGCCCGCCAGCGGCTGGATGGCTCGGCGGTCGCGAGCTGCGCCCGGTTTTCCGAGCGCTGGCGCTTCAAGGTTGCCGGCGCCCAGGCAGCCCGCGAGCGCCCGCTTGCCTGCGGATCAGCATCTGAGAAGATGGCTGCCCACAAAAACGGATATCGAGCTGCTGACGCGGACCAGGTGGCCGCCGAGACCCCCGACGACTGCGTAGAGCCGTTTCTGGACGTCTCGGAGGCCCCGCTCGTGGACCCCCTCATGGACTCCAGCGGGATGCTCAACAGACGCCCGACGGGGGCCAGGGAGGCCCAGGGGGCTTCGCAGTGAGTTTCGAGGAGGCCCCTGCAGGCATCACCGACTCCCCAGCATGGCGGCCTTCAGCGGCCGTCCAGGTCTCAGGTGGGGCCAACATCCTGTTCCTGGAGGGCGAGGGCCTCTGCCTGGCCTACCGTCACCTTCTTCGGGGCTCTGGCGGCCTGGGCACGAGGATGTTGATCATAGTCGACAATCTGCCACTTACTCTGGGGGTCATAAAAAGGGTCGGGCCAAAAGCCAGCACCCTCGTCGCTGCCTTGGCCGGGTCTGCGCTCTCTCAGTCGCCGCCGGCTCGAGGCTGTACGTCCGCTGGGTGGCCTCAGAGCAAAACGCTTCGGACGCAGTCAGCCGTGGGCGCTGTGGCTGGTTCAGCGGGCGGCGCGTGCTGCTCGGGCCCGCGCCCGGCACGCCTACTGCTCGCCGTGGCGGTCGCCATGGTGAGCCCCGCCCGCGGGCGCCGGCGCGGCCTGGAGGTCGCGCGTGCCGAGCGCGGGGGCAGCCGCAGCCCAGCGGCGGAAGCTGGCCCAGCAGGCGCAGGGCTCACGGCCGCTGCTCGCGGGCCTGACGCTGCTCGGGACGCTGGCCGTTCGGGCGAACACCGAGAAGAGCTACCTCCAGATGCTGAGCAACTTCGTGCAGTGGTGCCGCCAGCGCCGCCAGGACTGGAAGACGTTCGACGAGCTCGACGTGGTGCTGTCCAGCTACTTCTCGGACCACTTCTTGATGGGGACGGCGTGCATCATCGGGGGCCAGACGCTGGCCGCCGTCGCGCGCGCCACCCTCTTCAAGCAGACCGCGTCCGTGCTCCCCCGGGCCTCGAGGGCCTCAGCCGCTTGGGGACGTCGTGCCCCAGGCAAGGCCGCCTGCCACAGCCTCGCTCCGCGGTCTATGCGATCGCGGGCTGGCTCATCAGCCACGGGCAGCTGGGGGTGGCCTGCTGGGTGGCGCTGGCGTTTGCAGCCTACCTGAGGCCGGCCGAGGCGCGCGGCCTGACGCGCGAGAGCCTGGTGCCGCTGGCCCCTGCTGCGGGTGCGAGCTACGCCTGCTGGGCGCTGCTGATGCACCCGCTGGAGCGCGGGGTGGCGGGGAAGACTGGCCGCTGCGACGACAGCGTGGTGATCGACCAGGCCCCGCTGTGGCCGGTCCTGGCGGCGCTACGTGCCGCGACGGCGCCGGGCGCCAGCCTGTGGACCTCCTCGCTCGACGACCTCACCTTGCAGTTCAGGGCGGCCTGCCGGGCGATGAGGCTCTCGACGTGGAAGCCGCACCTCTATAGTCTCCGCCACGGAGGTGCCTCGGACGACCTCCTGACGGGCCGCCGCAGCCCGACCGAGGTGCAGAAGCGCGGGAGGTGGGCGGTGGCGCCGTCGATGCGGCGCCACGGCAAGGAGGGCTCGCTGCTGGGCGAGATGGCACGGGTGAACCCGGAGGTGTTTGCGTTCGGGGCCTTCGTCGAGGCGAACTTCGGTGCCTTCCTCGAGCGCGGCTTCCGCGGGATGAACCTCTATGCGGCCAGGCGCCTGCGGCGGCGATGCCGGCCCTCGGCCCAGCGCCCGCGACCGCGGGGCGGCGCGGCCAGAAGCGGCGGGCGTCCCGCCGCTGAGCGACGCGGCAGCCGGCGCTCCAGGCCCTCCTGCCAGACCAGGCGTTGGGATCGGTCAGGCCGAGGGGGGCCAGTGCAGCCGGCATCTGAAGCGGCGTCTGCGACAGGCCCTCGCCTCGGGGCGGACACGGCGCGTCGCGCTGGAGATTTTCGCTGGCTCTGCTCACCTGACCGAGGCGCTGAAGCGGCGCAAGCTCCCAGCCTTGGCCCTGGATCTGAGCCGAGGGCCAGTCGAGGATCACCTGTGCCGCGAGTTCCGCTCCGCCCTGCATGGATGGCTGGCGGGCCGAGTCGCGGGCGCCGTGTGGCTCGGCACTCCTTGCGCCACGTGGGCGCAGGCCATGAGACAGCCGCTGCGGTTTCGTGCACGGCCGATGGGGCGGGCAAACCTGTTGCCCCATGAGGCCGCCAAAGTTCGCGTCGGCGACAGAACGTTCCACCTATCTTGTGACGTGATCGAGCTGTGCCAGCAGCTGTGCATCCCTGTGTTCATTGAGAATCCCGCAGGCTCGCTGATATGGAAGGCGCGGCGGCTCCAGCGACTGCTTCAGCTTCCGTCGTGCCAGCTCTGTACCTTCGACTGCTGCCAGTTCGGCGCCCCCTGGCGCACGCGGGCGACAGTGGCGGCCTGGGGGGCGGTCGACCTTTCTCGGCTGCAGCGGCGGTTCTCCGGCCAGCGCGGGATTTGGTCGCGGTCCGGGAGGCCCCGTGTGATCCTCACTGGCCACGCCGACGGCGTGCACCTAATTGCGCTGGCTGCAGCCTATCCGCCCCCCTTCTGTCGCGAAATGGCAAAGCTCATTGAGCACTCTATGCGCAGGCAGTCGCACAGGCATTTAGTTGACATTGTGACGAGATAATCTCCTGCATCGAATGTTTATTTCTTTGACGGCCTGGCGGCCAGTTTCTCTCCGTCGGGGTTGGGGAGTCAGTTGGTCCGTTTCGCTGTTTCAGCCTGTCCGTTCGCGCGTCGACGCCCGGGCCCAAACGGGCTTCGTGCGTCAGCCTGGCTCCGACCCACACAGATTGGCCCTGCTCGGAAAGAAGTCGTCGGGCCCTTGCTCCGCTCGCGGTGGCTTCCGCCACTCCGCCGCCCCGGCTCCTTCTGTCGTGCCAGGCCGTCCAAGAGCTGGACCTCGGGAGTGGAGGCGGTCTGCGTGGTTTTAACAACACTTTGCGTAGGCGAAACGCGAGGGGGGCCGCACTGACTCGTCAGCTCATGCCGATGCTACGCTGTCGGCATTGGGGCTCAAAGTGCACCCGCCCGCGAGCAACCCAGTCAAAGTTTCCTTTGCCGTGCCTTTGAATGCCCTCAATGAGGGGAGTCAGTTGGTCCGTTTCGCTGTTTCAGCCTGTCCGCTCGTGTGTCGACGCCCGGGCCCAAACGGGCTTCGTGCGCCAGCCTGGCTCCGACCCACACAGATTGGCCCTGCTCGGAGAGAAGTTGTCGGGCCCTTGCTCCGTTCGCGGTGGCTTCCGCCACTCCGCCGCCCCGGCTCCTTTTGTCGCGCCGGGCCGTTCAAGAGCTGGCCCTCGGGAGTGGGGGCGGGCTATGTATATATTTAAATGCGTGCCTGTGTGCGCATGCACATGTATAGTGTCATGTACGTGCATATGTATATGTATACGTACGTATATATGTGTATTTGTATATGTATATGTATATGTTCATGTATATGTGTATGTATATGCATGCGCCTGTCTATGTATACATATACAAATATAACTTGGCACACACCTACATAAGCGGGCAAGGCCGCCGGTGGGGCCAAACACACGCCAGTGGGTTAGTGATCGGTTGAGAGATCCTCTTCCTCCTCTTCCTCCTCTTCCTCCTCTTCCTCCTCATCCTCATCCTCATCATGTTTCGCCCATGGTGCCGTGATGCCGCGGGAGCAAAACGCTAAAGACGGTGACGCTTGGCGCGAATCCGCTCCTGATTTCGTTTCTCTGCTGGGCGCGCTGTGATCCAGAGGGCTGTTCATATGGATGCACATTAGTGATTGTCCTGCCCAGCGCGGGCCTTGTCAGACAGGACTTCACTGTTTCACTGTTTTTTTCCCCTGTGTCGAGCCGCTCCAGGGCCCCCCCCCTTCGCGTGGCTGCGCCGCGCGGGCCGCGCGTCGCTTTCGGGGGAGTGAGGGAAGGGGAGTGGCGAGGGAGGGGGAAGGAGGAAGGGCGGGGGGGGGGAGGGGGCGAAGGAGGCAGGAGGGGGAGGGGGAGGGCGCCATGGCAGGAGTGGCAGAGGGTCTGGTGCCCCCCCCCCCGCCGCGAGAACACATCTCGTGACCCTTCTTAGTCAGAACCCTGCCGAGCTGATCGGCGCGTGAGGAATACCGAAGCCAGCCGCATCAGCATTGGTTCGTGATGTCTTCCTCGTGTTCCTCCAGTCACTCAGGGAGGGAGGGGAAAGGGGGAAGGGGCGGGGAGGCCATGAGATCCAACGTTGCAAAAACAATGCGACATCGTGAAGCATCACGACCAGAGTCCCAGACCCCATCTATCTGCATCATATTTAAAGCCGGATCGACGGTTCCAGGGCCCGAAATTAGGCGAAGACGTACGTCTCGACAAACTTGCAACGCCCCCGGGCTCATGGGAGGAAGGGTGGCGGGGAGGAGGGGAAGGGGGGCAGGGAGGCTGGGCTTAAGTCGGGCCTGTCCCTCTACGGGCGGAATATTCAGAAATTGTCCAAAGATAGCCAGGGGACTATTTTTGGATTTTTTTTGCCATTTTGGAACGTTTCTGGGGTATTTCTCATCTTTCGTCCAGAATCTCTCTGTAGCGGGACATGCCCGACCTAAGGCTGGGCATGTTCAGCCGCCCGCGCGGCCAGCGCTGCGCCGGCCGCTTCAGCAGCGCACGGGAGCCCGCGGCCAGCGCCAGCGTACGGCGGGCGGGCCGTGCTCGCCCGCGGGCTCGCCGGCGGCGCCCGGTGGCGTCTTGCGCTGCTCCAGCGGCTGCCTCCCGCGGCGCCGCCGCGGCGTGCTGCGGCAGAGGTCCAAGGTTCCGCAGATCGGTGTCGTTAAACCGATCCCCATCCCCATCCCAATGCGCCGTCTAGGCGCGGCTTCTGTCTGTCTGTCTGTCATCCCCATCCCCATCCCCTTCGAGACCCCTACCACATGACCACCCCAGTTGTGGATACACCCCTCGAAACCTGAAGGGAACGACCTATATCCCCATCTAGGTGGGTTAATCGGCCATTTGGGCCCAGGCTACGCCGCTGGGGATGGGGATCACATAAACGATATACTCAGCAGAGGTGGAGTGGGACCGGCCGGTCTCTGGCCGTTTCTGGCTTCCCGGGGCTCCCAGCGTCCCCAGCGGGCCTTAGGGCCGTCCACAAGCCACCTTCAGGCCGAGAAGATGGCCCTGCAGGGAAATCTGAGCATTTTCTTTGGGTGGAGGGCTCAGGGTGAAATCCATATGGGCTTTTGCACCTCGAAAATCAATCCGTCTTGTGATTCACCTTTTGCAGGTTCAAGCCTCGAAAATCCATCGAAACACCATTTCAGATTTCACCCTTTGCCCTCCACCCAAAGAAAATGCTCAGGAAATGGACCATGCCTCCAAGGTCCCTGCGTCGGGAAAGTTGGAGCGCCGAGTGTCTGGGGCGGGGGGCACCGCGGCGTCCGCGGGCGCCCTCAGGCGCCCGCGCCGCGGACGGCCGCGGGAGCGCCCGCTCTCTCGGGGTTCTGCTCAGAGGTGGCAGGTGAGTGTCTTCGTACTCATGCAGGCAAGGTTACGTGCATGCCATTTCCGACCCCCCCCCCTCGGGTCGGGCGAGAGGGGGGGATTGGGAAAGGGGGGGTTACGAAATTTGCTGCATGCAGCTGGTTTCGGCCTCACCGAGGGGCCCATTCCTCGATACGTGGGCGCCTCCCGGCGCCAGGAGGCGCCGGGAAAATCAGCTACGTGAGCTGATTCTCAAACCCCCCCTTTGCTATCCCCCGTTTTCGCCCGACCCGACCCCCGCTTTTCCATCGCCTTCTCCAACAGCGCTGAACCGAGAAGCTGTGCAAGCGAGTCCCCAGTTGCACAAAGTCATGATGTCTGTTCGGGCCTCGCCACGCCCTCCCCCTTCCCCCCCCATCCCTCCATACAAGAGAACTTCAGAGTCTACAGAAAAAAACTGCCTCAAGGAATTTACCGGTACTGCTACCAATCCTTAGTTTTCGGTTTTGGGCCTCATCGGAGGCCCTCGTCATTACGGCTGGATTCGCTTCGAAATTGTGTTCAGAATCTACCCCAGGAGAGGTCTCTCAAGTAGCTGTATCGGTATTCTTCGAGTTCCCCAGGGCCAGGTCTTCCAAACTGGGTCCGAGTCGATGGGGTCGGCGGATCGCGCCGCATCCCCGATGTGTCGCGGCCCTCCTCCAGCGTCGGTGGCGCCCGCCTGGGATGAATCCTTTCTTTCTCCCGCGCTGCTGTGTTTCCAGCTGCCTGCGGCAGACCCGCCACTCCTGGCGCTGCACAGTGGCGGCTCAGGGGTCGAGCTGCACAGCTGGTCGGGGCTGCGACGGGGGGCATCTGGACGGTCTTGGGGTTCCCTTGGGTCCGCTTGTGGCCCATCTTTGGCAGTACTGTTGACGTCCCGTGGCGGCCAGGGGCTTCTCGTCGGCCGTTTGCAGCGCGTCTCAGCGCCATGTTGCAGTCCTCTGATGTCCCGTGGACACAGAGTATCTACGAAGGCATAATTAGCGAAGCTGGCAACTGGGAAATCTAGTGAACAACTACGAACGCACATGGTTCAGAATATTGCATCGATCTTCTGGAGTTCGGACAATAGTTCTCTCGAATCGGCGGCGCGCCCGGGGGAGAAATGAGAGGGGGCAGACATCGTCATAAGGCGGCGGGGTTTCTCACTCGCGCCTCCTGAGAAGCCGTCGGTGCATTCGGAGAAGACTCAGAGAACTTCTCAGAAGGCTGCAGGCCTTCTGAGCCACCGGAGAAGCCCAACCCCCTCTGCCATTTAATCTAAGTTTTTTGGAAGGCTCCCAGGCGCTTCCTTGGTAAACCCACGGGGCCGTCGTTGCTACGTTGTCGGGGTGTTTTGTGGCCATGTTGGTTCGCATTTGGGGGCATGTTGGCCACTGCGGAAGCCGAGAAGAGCGCCGAGAAGAGCGCCATGTTGGCCGATCCAGAAGTCGAGAAGGAGTCTCCGGGGGCATCCAGCGCTTCAAGAGGGCCAACCACAATGTCCAATATCTTGGGTCGTCCTGTCTTGTTGCTGATATTGCTCGCGTCCCCGCGCGCGAAGTAGAGCGGGGGGTGACATGAGGACTTGACGTGATACGGCCCATGAGCGCCTTCAACCTGTTGGTGGGCCCAGTTTTTGGGTAGTAAGGCGCCTTTCGTCATCACCGTTTAAGGTCAGGATATCCAGTGGGACATATTGCCATGCTACCTTTTAGAAGGCCCTGGCTTGGAGTGTGGCGGTGCAGCTTGGACCCATCCAGTTGCCTGCAGCAAACCTCGCCACCGTGCCTGTGCAGCAGCGCCGCACGAAGGACATCCAGGGCAGGAGCATCGCAATTTCGACGGGTGGTCTGATAAGGACGGGTCGTGAACTCGTCCTCTTTTTCGTCCGCGCGGTAGGAAAGAGCTCCAGATCAGACCCCGCGGCAGTTCAGCGAGTGGTCTGAATTGAGGACGGTCGTGTTTTCGACATCGTTTTCGTTCGCGCAGTAGGGACGAGGAGAGTGAGAGGAGGCGGAGGAGGCGGAGGTGAGGGGGGAGGAGGAGGAGGAGGAGGAGGAGGAGGAGGAGGAGGAGGAGGACGGAGGAGGAGGAGGAGGGGGAGGAGGAGGGAGGAGGAGGGGGAGGAGGAGGAGGAGTAGGAGGAGGAGCAGGAGGAGGAGCAGGAGAAGGAGCAGGAGGAGGAGGAGCAGGAGGAGGAGGAAGGAGTGGAGTGGAGTGGACGCCGTTGCGGATGCAAGTGCCGTGATCGTCAATTGGCTATTCTTTTCCTCCGGCGCGGCATGTCTCGCAGCCAGTTCTGCTCGATTCAGGACTTTGGGGTGCAAGCCTTTACTGATCATGTCAAGGTACTTCCGTCCAGTCTTAGGGGAGTTTAAACTTACAGGGGGTCTTTAACATTCGCATCTGCTTATCTGCAAACGCCACGCACGCAGTACAACACCACACCTGAAGTTGCATTTCTACATTCAACGTGGGTGTAGTATGTGCCCAGCCCTCCGCGATATGAAATATGTCCCCGATGGGCGAACACAGAGCCCCATCATATAACCTCCAGCACGGTGACCTCCACCATCCAGCAGACGTTCCCAGGGAAGCCGATTCTAAAGATGTGATGCACCGTCTTAGTCAGCTGAGGTGTGTTGGGAGAGAAGGGCCGCAGCAGCAGCAGCACTCGCAAGGGGAGGGGGAGGGGCGGTGGCGGGCACGCCTCTACTCCGCTCAGCTTATTCAAATTCTCAGACTGCAGACGCAGTGCTGTCCCTGGACGCTCTCAACAAACGTAACCCGATCAAATAAGCTCGACGCTCGAGCAGAAGAACGGGCGTGCGAATACTCCTGCATACC